AAGAGAAGAAAGATGGAAAAGGAAACTGAACTTTTGTTCAGGTTGGCTAGCTTGATTTTTAGGCATAAATAAGTTGCTTTTCTTTGAAATTTAGCCCATGTTTCTTAAATATTATTTTTTTATTAATAATTTGCTAGTCAAAAGCAAATTGGTTGAAACCAAAATAAAAATGTATTTGATGTTAATGATGTGAGATCATAGATTCATATTGCATCAACATCCATTTCAACAATAGAAAACTTATGTTTGAATTACTTATATTGGCCTTATTTCTAAGTCAATGGTTGAATATATAGTTTATTCGATTAAATCACATGTATTATTGTTTTTTTTTTTCTTCACACAATCAAAAAGTTTAAGAGTCAAGAAGTAAAAAAAAAAAAAAGCCATCTCAATCACAATAATTTCAGTTGATAAAGAAAATTAACAATTTCAAAGATAAACTTTTGTGGATTAGATAAAGATTAAGAAAGCAATAAATATAATAAAAATTAATAAAGATGTAGAAAACTATAGGTCAGGTTTAGGGTTTAAATTTTAGTGTCAAGGGGTGCCCACCACCCTTTGACAAGAAAGTCTTTTGAGATCTTTGTTGGGAGCTCAATTGTGAAGTCTCTAAGGACCATTTTTGCTTCCTTGCCTCTTTTTTGAGAAGATCATGTGCCTATTGTGCTGCCCTGTAATCAAAAAGCATCATATCTTGATATTTAGCTAGAATAACCTTGTACCAATCTCTTTTTTTTTTTTTTTTGATGTAAGTACCAATCTTTCTTTAATTCATTGGCTACTTGTAGGGATGTCAACGGGTCTTGCAGGATTGGGGAGTCTCTCTCCATCCCCATGCTGCAAATAGCGGGGATAAGGATCCCTGCGGAGATTTTTAACAAGTGATAGATTGTCCCTCATCTCCATTTCCCTGGGGATCCCCACAGAGATCCTCATTCCCCATCAATTAATATAAAAAAATAATTTTTTTACATATAATTAATTAATATTCAATTATAATAAATAAAATTCTAAAAATTCAAGTATAATTAATTAAAATTATTTAAATATAAATCCAAATATAAATTGTCCAAACATAAATAAGGATCAATTTAATATAAATAACTAAAAGGCTAATAATGGGTTGGATAAAATTGGGTTAAGTTTAAATTTTATTTAATTGGATTTGGGTTTGGAAGTTGAATTAAATTTAAAATAAAATAAATTTACATATTTTTTAAATTTTTCACGGGGATGGATGCCCACAGGGCCTCACGGGGCTCTGTGCAAGAAAAAAATACCTCCATCCCCACGGAAGAATATTCCTACCCACCCTGTCTCCTTGGCGAGGATCCCCACGCGACCCTGTGAGAATCAGGTCAAATTGCTATCTCTAGCTACTTGTAAATAGTATCTAGCCATCTTTCCCATGGAACTTCTCTTGGTACAAGCAAGATTTGATCAAAAAATTTAATTATCAAGAAATCTATATTATTTATCAAGAATTCTATTATTATTTTTATTAGAAAAAAAATCTAAATACATCATAGTATCATATATATAATCAAAGTCTTAATACCAATCTAGTAACCAAAGTACTCTAAAAAAACCACTACAATATGATTTGCTGAATAAATCCTCACTTTCAAGCTTAGACGCTAAAGGTATGCCTTGAAATGCCCATTTTCTGATATGCGAAAGCACAACCATCGTCTTTGTTCTTGATTCATAAATCAAACTATCAACTCCAACAAATGTTCTCCAAAATAGCTTATCTTTAAAAACTTTTGACATTGCTCCAAAAACATAGGAACCAAGCTAGTACAACCAAAGACAATTCCTCTATTCTTTTTCTACCTTCAAAGCCATGCAAGAAATACTTAGCCTGTCCAGCAAAGCACCCTCCAAACCCCCATTAAGTCAACTTATTTCCAAAAATGCTGATGAGGACAAATGGCGACGCCTACTTAAACAGCGTCTTGTCTAGGGGTGTTCATATCCGATCCAATCCGATTGATCTGACCTAAACTGATCCAATCTGATTAAAAACCAAACCAAACCGATATAAAATTAGGTTGGTTTGGATTATAAAAATTTAAAACCGATATAATTGGTTTGGTTTGTGATTTTACTTTCAAACTGCCCGAACCGCCCGATTATAAAAAAAAAATCCGATTATAAGATAACTTAATTAAATAATATAATATTTTTATAATATTTCAATTTTTTTTCTTATTTTATAAGATAA